TAAATAAATATAATTATTCACCGTGAACTCTAAAATAAATTTTTCAAATCTACTATGTGAAGGTAGTATTGCAAAAGAATAACAAAACGAAGCTGTTCCAACTGTATGAAGAATTATTTGAAGAAATCTGCTCAGAATCATTGTTATTTGTATTTGTTAGCAATTCTATATTATATTATTAGTAAATAGAACGCGTTAAAGTTTTTTTTTGTGAATTTTTTAAAATATAATAAATACAGGCAGGAAAAATAATTATTAGCTCTTATATATAATTAAAATCTATTTATGGTTGATGTCAGATGACTTCTTAATGACCGTATCAAATGATCATCCATAATATACAATGCCAATTAAAAAACAAATATTTGTCTCATGTCAAAATGGCTGCTGATGATGTACAAAGTAAATGTTCAAGGTCAAAATGACTCACTATTGAAATTACCTCGTGATACGTTACCAAAACATGGAGGAAAATGTTTGCATTTGCTCAAAATTTTAACCTTCATGAGATGAGCGAAACAAAATTCGATTTGGCGCAATTTTATAGTTGGCTCCGAAAATACAAATGGGAAAACCGTAAATGGCAATGGTAATGGTAATGATAATAGTGATGGTGATGGTAATGATAATAGTGATGGTGATGGTAATGGTAATGGTAATGGTAATGGTAATGACAAGAGTAAATTAAAAATTTCTGTAATAGTAATTAATATTAAATAATTTCGGCTACAGTAATTCCGTAAACATAATTATTCGTAATTCAGATATTGATATTGATATTAACTGTTAATATGTATAAGATCGACAGATGTAAACTAATTATGTGGTTATTTTCAAATTTTTCTTTAAGATTGATCATGATTTACTATATACACTACAAGAAAATTGATACTGAAAATTTGAAATAGAAAATTTCAAATTTTTACACCACTCACCTATTTTCTTGCCAAGCTAATAATAACCCACGATTCAGTTAAACTGTTTTATATCGTAAATGGTAATTTTTGAAACGTGATTCTTTTTTATTGGCTATTTTTTAAATGGGTTTCTTATTGCTACTATATTTAATGGTCGCAGGAGAATGGGTATATCAACTGATTATTACGTGTATTATGTATATATTAATATTAATATATAATAGATAGATTCGTATGATGGATCAGCTTTTAAATGTCACGGGATCACATCTGCAAGGTGTCCGCGTCCCAAACAGCTCCCATGTATATAATGACGAAAAATTGATAATTTATTACTTGCTTGTATTACACAAAGATAGCATGTAGGAAAAATTCAATAAACGATAATTAATATAGGAAGTTCAAAATAAAATTCAAAAGTACTAACATTCTAATAAAAAATTAATAAAGGTATACGTTGAGGTAAATCTTGCAAATTTTAAAGTTTGATTTTCCTCAAGTTGAATATAGACTTGAAATAATCTACAATAAAAATCTATGTTTCTATTATCAATTAATAAATAAAGTATTCATAATCAATTAAAATATTCCTTCACGAAAAATTAATTTTAATAGTAGTAATGATGGTGGTATATAATTTGATGGTGGTCAAACAATATCTTTTACTACTTTACGATAATTCATTGGGAAGTTTAACAAAAAATTGTAAATGACCTAAACGGTTGACAATAGAAAAATCGAAAAAATGAGGGAGGTAATTGATTTATTTCAAATTCTAATTGGATGGAAATAAAATACTTGCGAAATCTTTTTGGAATTAATCATAAACTAAAATTTCAAATCACTTTTTATCAAAATCGCTAATGGAATTATTATTACTATCAATTCTTTTGATTTAGCCATATCATCATGTAATTTTCGATTTGAATGATATACCAATGGATGTGATTTTAGTCTTAATCGAGGATTGTTAATAATTATTAGAACCGCTTGTATAATTTTACATATGTGCGCAAAGATCTTACCTACAAAGGAAATAACGTTACCTTTTTGAGTAAGATATTCTTTCCATATTTAAATTTTCACGTTTTTGAAAAACTTTTATTGTAAAATAATCGGCAAAAGCACGAAGCTCGCCAATCTTTGGTCTTTAGTTGGATCGCCATCCCAACATTTTTTGCATATTCAAAATCAATCCAGGTCTATGAACTCTATTATTAAGTGATGGGCAGCCTGAAAATATTTCCTGCATCAGTACTCAAATACTATATTAACATACTATTATTGTCATCATTAGCTTTGTTCTTACTACTGCTACTGCTACTATTATTGTTGTTATTACTACTACTGTCATCATCATCATCATTATTATTTTCATATTGATTATTTTTAGCTTGTAAATTTATCCTAGAAAATTTTATTCTCTTGGATGTTTGACAATTATAAATTAGATTTTGCTGCCTTGGATTCAATTGATCTAAGATATAATAATTTAATATATAATAAATTGGAGCATAAATATAAATAAATAAATGAATAAATCACATATATTGATAGATCATTTACCAGGCTCTTGAGAAAAAACTAAATCTGTGCCAATCATTTCATCAAATTCGCCTTTGAAATACAAACTACCAATACGTAAATATGGTGCATCTGTTTCTAATCCCTAATTATTTTAATTATCAGTGCCAATCAATAATGATATTATTTATTATTGCTTTTCTCCCCCCCCCCCAAAAAAAAACAATAACAATTTTAAAGCTTACAATTAAAGAATAAGTAATACTATTTTGATTAGCATTTGTATTTTCAGGAAGATCTTGTTGTTGTACGTCACTACCATCATCATTACTGACATTAACACCAGCAACAACTTTATTACTACTAGTTGCCTGTTGTTGTTCATCTGAATCATTAATGTTGATGTTATTCATTCTATTTTTCGACATAATCATATCAAGTGTAACTTCGGTTCCTAAATCTAAAATTATGTAGGAAACCTTTAAGTTGTAAAGAAAGAGATTAATTGATAGGTAGATAGATATATAGATAATAATTTCTTCGAAATTCATTTCTTTCTTTTCCCGATTTATTTTACCTCTTCTTCATAATTGTCATCGTTATCAACATTATTGTCAAAATCGTCTACTTCCATTTGACTTTCTATGGGATCCATAATAAATATTTCTTGTCACGTGGAATATACAAGATCATCAAAAACAGCAGTGCTTCAATTAAATATATCTAATAATATTTTTTCAATTTTATTAATTATAATAAAAATTTTTTGATTTATATAAAATAAAAAATAATAATACGCAATAATTATTTCTATTATTTTATATGCTTATGTATATAAATATATATAACAACAGATGTAAAAAAATAAATTCTAAATTGTTATTTTTTTAAACATTATATATAATAATCAATTATTTACATGTACAAACGCAAAAAGAAAAGAATTTTTCATATCAATTAGTCATATGTAGATTTTGTGTGTGGGTTCTATAATGAAGTGAAA